TTTATTTTGTTTTAATGAATTCATAAACAATATTTGTGTATACAAATTACCTTATATCAACGATAGGTATTCTAATGTTTTGATAATCAGCTGAATTTAATGCAAGCTGAACTTTTATTTTTGTTCCTTTCCATTAATCGCTTATAAAGATTGTGTGTGTTTTGGATAAATACACACACGCGCTCCAAATATCTGGTTCATTAGTCTCGTTCCTTGAATATTGTAATAAGATCGTCATATGGCAACAATAGCCATGGGAGGGGCTAACAAGAGGCCCGACGCACAACGTAGAATAGGACTTGGGTTATATTAAAGGCAACAAAGTTTTTTTTGACTGCGTGTGTGTGTGTGTGTGCGCGCGCGCACATTGTGACATTCATTAATCAGGGAATCCGCCTGGGCAGCTGTGTGATATCCATTAATTAATGGAATCCGCTTGGGACCTGATTTCAGCTCGGAAACAGGAAACGCTCCGGAGCAGGTACCCGACGGGAAACAGCTATGCCCCCACGCCCTAAGCAAGCTAGGGGAGAAGCGACCTAGCATGACCCAGTCTTGGTTCGTGTCCAGCTAGTCCTGCCTCAGGATCCACCTTGAAATGATGCGTGGTGACCAACTCGCGATAAGCATTCCGTTTGGCGACTTAGGTTCCCGCCAATCACCGCTTAGCTCTCCGGACCTGACCGGAGAGTAAACATCGCGCCTGGCCCATTTAGGCCGCGGAGCCAAGAAACACAACACACTCATCAGCTTGACTCTGTAGACTACGTAAATAAAGAGTAATTTAACTACCGTGTGTTTAACTATAACCACAGATGAATCAGCCTTTGGGTGGTTGATGCAGAAAGATTAGAGTCACCCTCCCATAAACTGTTTGCTCACCTTTTTTACTAATTACACTTATATAAATCTGGTTATAACTTAAAATGCCCCTAGAATAACTCATTTTTCTAAATGTGTGTGTGTATGTATGTCTGGAAAAAGTGTAAGACGGGACCGGCAATCAGCCAGAAAATACCAAAGGCTCTTAGGACCTCTCCCCGCAGCAAACTCGACCTTGGCCCTTGCGTGATACCCTGGCTATTTCGCGCTCACCCTTCGCTGCTGCCGCATTTCTAATTGCTTGCAATTAGCTTCGTGCCCTATAGCCAATTCTTTCATATACACATTTTTTTAGCTTTAGGATAACTCTCTGAGCACCCTCTGGTGAACTGGACCCCATCTTCGGGCTCATGCTCGGACGTGGGCAGACCTTTACCTCCTGCAAGGAAGGGTGTGTCTGGGGGGTCTTACGGTGTGCAGAGAGTTGCCTTTCTATTTGCTAGGGAATGGTATGGCAGACCATTTGATGACTGCTACTCTATTTTTTTGCATAGGAACGAATAGGCAGGTAGGAGCCGCTCCCTTTCTGAGGCCCTGAGCCACCTCACCCCAGGACGAGACTCCCCTTCCCACTCCGACCAAAGGCCATGCCCTCACAGGCAGAGCCAAACCAGGCTGAATCTGTGCAGCCAGTGCCAGAACATGCTGACCTTACTCAGGTAAAGCCAGCAAAGAAAAAGATAAACTTACAGACAAAGCCTGAATTCAAAGCCAAACTAACAAAAATTAGAGCTATCAAAGGCTCTCCACCCCCCAGCTGACCCAGGGATAGCCTGAACAGCCCAAATACAGATGAGGATTCCTCAACCAATGAGGATTTCACAATGGAGTTGTCAGACTCCGACACCTCTCAGTCCGAATAGGATGACGTCTCTGATGTAACTAACATCATGACACAACCTAAGCATACTACAGTGGAACATCAATGGCTTCTCCTCAAAGAATGCCATCCTCCACAGAGCATTGACAATGCCATGCTCTAGGAGACATTAGTGGAGACTGTTCGCTTCTCAGGGTATCATGTCTTCATGCTGCTACACACAGCTGGCAAAAGAGGCTCGATAACCCTGGTCAGAGCAACAATCCCCTGCTTCGCAATAGCCGATGCACCGCACTGTGATGATGTTGAATCTCTTGCTATTGAGATTCACATGGCCGGGGGCCCCCTCAAACTGTACAATGTGTACAGCCGGCCAAGCTGTAGGAACTTAGACATCAGCCAGGTCTGTGCTTCTGCTGCACATGACCGAGTGATCATAGGGGGAGACTTCAATGCATACCACCCCATCCTGGCTCCCTGCAGGGCACCAGATGTGGCTGGCTATCACATAGCCAACGGGCTTGAGACATTCCCTGAGATCGCTCTCTTCAATACCCAAGAACCAACACATGTCAGAGGAGGGGTCCTAGACCTCACCTTGGCAATTGTGACTCTGAGAGAGAGAATTAGCTGGTGTGTCTATGAGACTGTCACAAGTGACCATTATGGCACTATAACTACCCCCATGCTGACCCAGTCCAAATGTCACAACCAAATCCAAGATGGAAAACAGACAAGGCCAGACAAGGCATTTCAGAATGCCTTGGTCTACTGTCTGAGATGCAATGAACCCCCACAAAGTGAAAATGTGAATGTGCTTGAAGCCAGACTTATCAATGCCTAAATCAGGCAGCCTCACTGACCATACCTAAAACTTGGCCTGGTAATTTAATGACGAGATTAAGGAGGTTAACTACAGAGTAGACATGTGCTGAAAACAATTCTGAAGACAAAGAACCCCTGACAACCTAGTCCTCCTAAGGGAGGCTGCCAGGGATGCCAAGGAAACTGCCAACAGTCAGGTAGGAAAAGTGGCTGGAATGGTGTGAGTCCTTCGACAACCAAACCTCCTCAGCTGTCTGGCCAAGACGGCCAAGAGGATGGTACTAAACCGACTCCAATGGGAAATGGGACCCCCACATGAACACCTCCATGGGTTCACTAGGGGCAAGAGTACAGCATAGCCACGCTCTTAAGTACAATTAGCATTGGCACATATGTGGTAGTATTCCTAGATCCGGAGAAGGCTTTTGAAGTAGCAAGTCCACTTGCCATTCAGGAGTCCCTGATCCAAAAGGGAATCAGAGGAAAGCTCTTGGCTTGGATAGGTGACTATTTCTGGAACATAACGGCCAGAATCAGATTCAAAGGTATCACAGCACATACCACTATAAAATGGAATGCCAAAGGGTGGGGTTCTCAGTTCAGCCCTATTCAACACCCTAATATCCTGTATCCTCAACATACACCTCCCAGTGGGGTGCAAGATCATCTCCTATGCAGACGATCTTGCAATCACCTCCACTGGACCATATTGCCTAAATAAACCCCAGCATTGTCTGGACCTTGTATCTGAGGAGTGTTGTAGGACAGGACTAAAGATCTCTGCAGCCAAATCAAAAGCCATGGCTCTGAGACATAATGTTCAAGGCACAAGTCTGAAAATCCAGGGAATGGACTTGGAATGGGTCCAGGACTTCCAATACCTTGGGGTAAGGATTGACCGGACCCTTCCTTCCAGGCAGTAGCGTAGCGAGGGGGGGGGGGGCAAGGGGGGGCAGCCGCCCCCCCAATGCTCAGAAAGTTGGTCTCTGAGAAAAGTGCAAATCTGCAATAAAATTTGTAGGGGGCCCCCCTACAAATTTTATTGCACAAATGGCATAGCTCATTATAAGCCATCTAAAAAGAGCCGTTTTCCAGCATTCTAAGGGGCGTGGTCTTAAATTTTCCCGAGGGAAGATTCCCGGACCCCCTGCTATTTTTCTTACCTGTTTGCCCCCCCCAATCTTCCCGCTCTGGCTACGCCACTGCTTCCAGGAGCAAGACTGTCATGAGAGTAATGACTTGTAGACACGTAGGGGCCAGACACAAAGTAATAAGATCATTCAATGTACATGCCGTCTGGCTCATTGTGGACTATGCCTATGTCGCTCTGATTGCCATAAAGAAAAAATATAAAGACAAAGGTCCTCAGCCTCCTCATGGAGGCAAACCTTCTCCCCCCGGCCTCACGAATTGATCTAATGGCAGCACAATTCCTGTCAAAGGTCATCCAGGCTCCCAGGAACACAAGCCTAAGACAAAAAATTGTCAGACGCCTAGAACAAGACAACCAGCTCCTTGCAAATAACTCCTGGCTGCCTCACACTGCCAGGGTGTTGATACGCTATCAGCTCAAAGAACAGCTACTTGCTAAGGGCATGGACGCCCCCTACTCAGATTTTATCGAACTCCCGCCGTGGGCACAAACCATGATAGAGTTCTCTGTTATAAGCCTGTCAATGGGAAAGAATCCATACCCCACGCCTAGTCTAAAGGCAGAAGCCGAGAGGGTCATTACAGCCATCACTCCACCGGGTAGTGGAACATACTTCACGGATGGATCAGTCGATCCCTTGAGCCACACTGCAGGCGCCGGCTTTGCGGCAAGGGATGCCACAAAATCCATGAGGGTAACAGACAACGCCTCCTTGCTACAGGCAAAGGCAGTTGGAATCATGGGAGTTCGAGCCCACGCGTCCCTGAGGGAAGGACACGTAGTCATACATACAGACTCCAGCACAGCTCACTCAAAGACAACGTCTACCTCCTGACCACTGTGCTTACCATAACGCAGATAATTCTTGCTCAGGGGAGAATAATAATCATTAACTGGGTCCTCAGCCAAATTGGCATCAAAGGGAATGAGTCAGCCGACAGAGGCAGGGGTATGCGCCCAAATCCCATGATCATACAACCAAGCCGAAAAATACTAAAGGAGAAGTGTACTGCGGTCGCTCGCACCTTCTTCTTGCAGCTTCACAGAGAGGAAACGAAATCCTCCCCCTCGACCAGTTGGTACTCAAACGCCACAGGCTATGAACCACTGGCACTCTCTGAAGCAATCAACAGAGGTACCGAAATCATTCATCACAGAATAAGACTAGATTACCACTGTACATGCATTGTGGCGAGCCGAACGCCACCCTGGTACACTACTTACAGAATTATGAGTACACACAATTCCTGAGACAGGGACCGCCCACAACAGCCGCCGTGCTGGTGAAGAGATTATGCGGCATGCTTAGATCATGGCGGC